GAGACAAAGCAAAATCGTCCGGATAGAAATTTTGATTCTTCTAATATCGAACCAAATGGCTTATCTGTATTTAATTGTCGTGGTAAGCCTTTAGTAGGGGGTACTTGGATAAACTTGAGCACTCATGAAATCAAACAAGCTCATTTTTATATCCTCCCAAATTGTGAAGAAGTCAGACCTTGGATTGAGTAAGATACCTTTCAGTTAGTTTACATCCTTTTATTTTTATGGAAATCTCAACAACTATGTTTTAATAATATTTGTTTTGATTTTATTAAATGCTCACATTCCATAGGCAACACTTAGAAATATTAAGGAACGAGAATACTAGAAATGTTTTCAAGAGGCACAAGGAGGAATTTCCTTTGTGGGTTGAGAAAAAGGTAAATTATATCATTTGATGCTTGTTTATCTTTATTTAGGATTATTTGTAAATTATATTTTTTAAATAGTATTAATGTTTGTGACTTTGTAATTGAAATATTATAGGTGGTACAGTTAAAAGAAAATGCTGATGCCGAATTACCAGTGGATTACTAGCTTTGGCAAGACGTCCAGATCCTCGTGCTTATTGCCATAATGGATATATCATGAATGGGTTTAGGTTTCGAACAATGAAATCTGAGCTAGGTTTGAAAACTCAAAATAGTGGTGTAGTTGTGAAAAGTGATGAACATACAGGAAATGTTGATTATTATGGAAAGATAAGAAATATTTTAGAGATCCAATATTTGGATAATAATTCAGTCATATTATTCCAATGTGACTGGTTTGAAGTTCCTACTCAAGGTCGTAGTCAAAGTAGAGGTTATAAAAGGGATGAATATGGATTCATATGTGTAGATGTGACACGACTCCATTATACAAATGATCCATTCATTTTAGGCTCACAAGCACAATCTGTGTATTATGTTAAACACGATCAAAATGAGAATTGGCATGCTGTGGTAAGAGTAAGACCACGGAATTTGTTTGATTTATCCGAACAAGAAGATGAAACGGAGCCGTATCAACTGATTGACTTGGTTGAAAGAGGAGAAGTAGATCTTCAAATAGAGTCCGACAATGATGTTATTAAAATATAAAGAGAAGACATTGATGGACTGAGTGTAGATGCACCTTCTCTAAGTAACGAGGAAGAAGTAGACTTAGAAGCTTTTGATGAATCTGATCATGAAAATGGAGATGACTTCAGTGCAGATGAAGAATATCTTTCTGATGAGTTTGATGAAATTGAGGATGATGACTGGTTGTAATTTGTTTAGTGATATTAGTTTTGTTTGAATGATTGGATGTTGATTACTACCTCAAAGGTCGTAACTTTATATGATGGTTTATGCATTTGCATCTTTGTCTTTGAATCTTTTTGTGTACCTTTAGGTAGCGAAAGTGGTCTGGTGCAATTACTCCATTAAGGAGTTTGATTATCAGCTAGGAAATGAGCTGAATGTAGTTTTATGTTTCAACCAGCTAAGCTAGTTGTAAGTAATGCCTTGGCAAATTTAATTAGTTTCTTTACCATCGGATGATTTATTACAGGAGAACTTTATTGTGTTGTAGTCTGTGAGCAGGGTTTGACTATTTCACTTTGATCATTTATTTTGGTTTTCGGTCTTATGTTCCCCTTTTTATCCGTGTTCTCGTGTCATATTCTGAGCTGGGATACATATGTAAGCTTGTGCTTCTGACCAGTAGATGATACACTATTAACTGCATTTGGATGCTGTTCACATATGCAAATGCATCTTTGGTACAAGAAAATTCAAAAAATACATAGCCACGAATAATATGGAATATTGTGAAAGAAAAGTAAGGGAATGTTAGTGCCAGCCTCCACCTTGTGCTATTCTTTTTGGCTGCAAAAGATAATGTTTATATAATAAAGATAAACATTACATATTTTAGCATCATTCATATGGTTATGCTTCTTGCATAAGTGGTTTCTGATTTGTCTGCTTCTAGTACCTTTAAGGCAAATAAACGAGGAACTGCAAAATGAACTATGCTGGTACTATTAGTGAGTTGCATATTGATTCCACATTTAGCTAGTTTATCTGCTACCTTGTAATGTTCGCTAAAGTTGTGCTACCTTGTATTTTGCTTCTGTCACTTGTACATTCGACTAGTCCAATAATATAATTTTTTCTAATGTGTTGCAGCATATAATGATGACGGATGTGCATGTTTCTAATGATGATGAAACTGTTGATGTAATCTCAAATCCACTGCCAGGTAAGTTAATTTATTTGTTAAAATTCTGCCCTATAAAATCTCTAGCTTGTATATGTTATGTTTACTATACATCTAAATATTTTCATATATAGCTGAAGGTAAAAAGAGAAAAGGAAGAGGGAAGACAACAGGACTTTCAATCCAAAAGAAACGCAAAGATAGTGACAATGGAAAGTTGAAGGTGATTATTCCACCAGATCGAACTGTAGCAGTAGGTCCTGGAGCTAATGATTTCATTAATGAGCTCTCTGTTAAAGTTGTGCATAACGCTAGGCATGCTGTCAAGAATTGGAAGGAAGTTCCTGATATAGCAAAAGATAGGATTGTTGCTCATATGCTGGTAATTCACTCTATTCCCTTAGAATATTCTTGTTGGTTTAGTAAACATAAGCAAACTCTCAATGTAAGTATACAAATATAGAGAAGTTGACTCTGAAACAGTCCTCGGTTCATTGGCAGACAATCACACTCTATTTTAAGTAAGCTCACTTAAGTTTATTATGAATTCAGGACACCTTCCAACTTCCAGACACACAACACAATCGAGATACTATCCTTAAAACAGCTAATAATTTATATAAATATCGTCGTAGTAGGCTCCATGATCATTTCAAAAAATATGCTACAAAGGAGGAACGCTTGTAGAACATGCCAACCGATGTTAGTGAAACTGAATGGAAATTCTTGGTTGAATATTTCGATTCTGATACTTTTAAGGTAATTAATTAGGAATACGCCAAAATTAAATTGATTTAACTTTGTAAATTATTTATTTTCTTATTCTACTTCTTATAATTCATCAGAAAATATATTTACAAATTTAAATTCAATACAGAGAATGAGTGATCGAAACAAAACCAATAAGGCAAAACAAGAAATCAATCATATTTGCGGCAGAAAATCCTTCCAGGCAATATCTTTTGAACAGGTAACATATATCTTTATTTTGATGAATTTTGGTTATTTTTAATTTTATAGCATAATTTGATTTATTTTGGTAGAGAAATACAAGCACTGGAAAAGAGCCAAACTTGCAGAAACTTTGGGAATTGACTCACATGAAGAATGGACATTGGGTTAATGATGCATCTGCTGAGTTACATGTACGTGCGAGACTATTATCCTTATTCCTAGAATGTGAGTCCGTAGAAATAAATATTAAAAGTTAAAGCCTATATAATTTTTTGTAGGATAAGGTGAAAGAATATATTGCTGAACAAATTCAAGAAATTGAAGAAGATACTGATTTGGACCCAGTTGTTAATGCTGCATTTGTGAAAGTTGTTGGAGAAACGTCAAGTTATTGTCGTGGTCAAGGTTTGGGAGTTAATTCAACAAGTAAGAGATCCATGAATGAAATTCAAGAGAAACTACAAGCACAACAAAAAGAGGCAAAAGAAGAGCGTCGTAAACGAGAGAGTGTAGAATGCCAGCTAAAGGAAGTAAAGATTAAGCTTGAGGAAGAGCGAAAAAATCGAGAATCCATAATGCGTGACCAAAAACTATTGAAAGAGAGCATGGTGGCACTAGCATCACATATACTAAGTAATGAGGTATTTCAATTACTTGCTTTTGGTCCTAAAATATTTCGTTCAAACTACATAACAATAAAAGTGGTAGCATCACTTTCCTCTTTTGTGGTATTCTTTTCATTCTCTACGGCTTGAATTGGTGGTGGTGGTGGTACTGCTGATGTTTCTGCATCTTGCAATATTATTAAGTGTACAAAAATATTCCTTGTAGCATCTCTTAATTCATTAACTGAATCTGTTATTCTCTTCTGCAAAAAAATAAATAAGACCAGCATTTTATTTCTTATAGGTAAACAATACCAAGTGTACAAAAAGCTATATTTCCACACTCTACAGCTGAAATCTTGAATGTTGTTTGGTTCAAAAAAAAAGTTAACTGGTATACATGACTATACAAAATTAGCCGGCGTAGAAACCGAGTTAGCATACGATAAAAGACCTGAAGTTAATATGTGTTGCAGCATGCTGAATGTCCACAATCTCAATGATGTTTGCTGAAGTTATAGATGGTTTTGGTGTTATTTTGTTGGTTTTCTTTCATGTGGTTGTGATAGTGGTTACTGTGAAGTGTTAACAATGTGATATTTATGGGCATCATGGCCTATTTACGTAATATTTACTTGTTTATCTCTTGAAAATTTCGGGAATTCAGTCTAGCTTAATAATTGCTGGAAGCAGTTGTTATGCAATGCTGATACAATCGATATGTCAGTTGATGTTTTTGTCCTTGGGACTATAGGGTCATTGCTTCTCTCAAATGTGGTATAAAATTGTAAAATAGATCTCGTCTGGGCTGATATTTTTATTGTCTTGTGTCGTGATACTGTTACAACGGATGATTCTATGCCCTATGATTGAACAATGAATGATTCTACACCCTCTGCTTAAACAGAATTAAACAAAGAGACAGAGAAAAGAAAACTCTTTGATTATGGAACCAAAGATATTAAAGTGAAAGGAAATTACCGTACAAGCATTTGCAAGTGCTTGTTGCCTCTGTTTTCTCTGGGTAACTGGGGGTGAAAGGATACAGGTATATCTGCAGTGATTCAGAATAGCACTGCTAAAAACTAGTGCACCACCATCATCCATAAAGCCAATAGTAAAAATATGCAAGTCCACGTTATGATTATAGAATTAAAAAAATTGACCCAGTGCATCCTATCTAAATGATTGAGCAGTATAATAAACCATGACAAGATAAGGAAAACGGATGAAAGTTAAATTTTTAAATAGCTGCTGAATGCAGTAGGCAGTAGGCTGGGGATCCCTGATATGAAGGGATATTAAAGATAGTCGAATCCATAAATTACTCTTGTCGCACTATCTTTGTTTCTTCCTCGTTCCTATATCATTCCTTTCCATTGATTTGTACAACAAATTAAGTTATGTAGTTTTATTATGTTTAACAGAATGGAGTTCCTGCTGCAATTCTCAATATTTTTTCTAATTTAAGTAGTTCGGATGGTGCAAGTTGTTTAAGACATATGGATGACATCACGGTAAGAAAATTCTGTCTAACTCTTGTAAAGGTAAATTCCTTGGTTGATATTGTTCGCTGTCATATTTGTATTCTTCTCAATTCAAAAAGAAAAGTTGCTTGATCTTGGACCTTTGAAAGGTGATATGCTTGTTCTTAGTGTCCCCTGATTTGGGCTTAGTGTCCAACTTGTCATCTGAGTTGTACTTGTACCAAGATGCCCAATAGAGATAATTTATAAAGTTTAGGCAGCTTAAAATGGCCAAGAACCAATAGAAAAGTTGCAAATTATTATGATCCAAATCTAAACCAGCCAACCATCCTTTCTTGCTTTGTGAAAATCTTTTGGTCGCTGAATTGATAATATCCACAAAAATACTGCTCAAGTAGTACCCAAAAGAGAGTGAATTCCATGTAAAAGAAATAGACAGTGACCTCATTCCTGTTGGTGCTTCCTTGTAGAAAAACTCAAGAATTCCCACTAAGGTAAACATATCAGCAATTCCAAAAATACCATATTGAAAAGATAGCCAAAAAACATGGATAGGCTCCAATGGATTTTTCAAGGATTGGTATTTTCTGTTGCAATTTTTTTGGTTCTCAGTCATATCATATCAAAATGAAAAGTTATTTGATCGTGGGCTTTTAACAGATTCTATACTAAAGTTATATACAAAGAATATCTTATACTTTGGAGAAAAAAAGTAAAAGAAAATAAAGAAGCCATATCTAATGTGATTTTGTAGCGATATGCAAAATCTATAGTACATAGTTAGCGCTCTTCTTCTATATTCTGGTCTCACGATGAAGCCTCTCAGTTTTCTGATTCTAGCAAAGTAGTGTACATTAAGAAGGTCTAATACCACCACTGTTAACTAGTCTACTAGCTTATGGGTAGTCAAAACATGCGGACAAGCTTAACTAATGACGAAGTATATTACTAGAAACCGAACATATGTCTGAAGATAGCATTCCCGCTCCCACCCATGGCCATGAAGTCAAGGAGCATCTATGGATACTAATAGTTTCTCTACTGGTGAGCACAAATGTGTAATATTTGTCAAGAAAAGTTGCTATAAAGGATAGCATCCTCAGTCAAAATTTGATTATTTAACAGTAAATACCAGATTACAATGTGGACTTGAAGAACATTTTCCTCTCTTCTATATCGGTTATAGGCTTGTAAAAATGGATCAACTACTACTACTATGTGGTTAACCTAACAAGATTCTCTTAAATAACCATCTGCCAGACAATGGATTCACTCATTCTTGCTCATTTCTCTGTCTTATTCTCTCTTTTGATCCATACTTGTGTACTTTATAGTTTTTATTTATAAAAGATATAACTATAATTTATATTCTTTTGTAGGATGAGCATGAGTAAACCAATATAGATGGCAATATGGTTCATGAATGTACAAGCTACCGGAAGAAAATTTACTTTTGGAGTTGTTATTTGATTAGAAATTATGACTCTAGAGATGTTCTTGTTCTTTTTTTAAGTAAAAACATATGTTTTAGTGGTAGGTTTTGAAAGTATGTAAATACATTGAACTTCAGTTGTAGTGACTTTTGCAAATATATATCAAATATTAATTTTATATATACATTTGTGATGTTTAAAAAGATTTAAAATGTGAATTATTTATGTAGCCACTACATATTTGTTGTTGTTAGTTGTACAACAAAAAATATAATATTGTTGGCAAAAAGTAATTTTATGGCCACAACAATACTTGTTGCTAAAAGTCTTATAACAGATTATTAACTACCCTCCCGCCAATTTTTTGCCACAAGTAATATTGTTGCGAAAAAAAATAATTTATCGCAACAATAATTATTGTTGCTAAATATTTTCATAAGCCACAATTGTGTGACCAAAAAATAATTTATTGCAACAACTTTCTTTGTTGCGTTACGGCAACTTTGTGCAACAACATCTTTTGTTGTTGCAAAAACTTTTCCCATCAGCATTTATTGCATCGACATGCAACAATTTTTCTGTTGTTGCCAAAAGTACTTTTTGCAACAATATTCAATATATGGCAACAAAAAAATTTGTGGCAAATTCCATACTTTCTTGTAGTGTAGGTAGGTAAAAAGCCTTCCACAGAAAGTTGATTGCTGCACTGTTCCTGTACAGTAGTGTGTGCAGGCAACAACTTTCAAACTGGAGAGTTGACTTCATACAGTCTCCTCGGGAACTGGTAGGGACCTGTTCCCTTAGCTGTTCCTTCCAATATGAAGAGTTGAGTTATATCCCACGCTGGATCCCAACCTGGAACTTTGAGATATTTAGGTCTTGTAAATGTATAACAGGTTCCTTATCAGGTTCTGGATGGTAAGTTTGTTAGATCATCAAAACATAAAGAAAAGTACTTATGCCCAAAGTACTTGTAACCTATCAGATTATTTCTTTACTGATTCTCGTTACACACGTTGTCTTTGCAGTTTTTGTCAAGATTTTATGCTTCCCAGGCTGATACATGTCTAGCACACAAAACGCACATGTTCCTGACAACGAAGGTCTTGGAGAAAACAGCAGTATAGTGGTCGGTGTACCACCAATAAACCCTGAGGAAGTACCAAATATGGAGCCAGTTGATATCAGTTCACATAATGCTCTAAACGCGGATTCAGGCACAGACCCCGTAGGGAATGCACGCAGGGAAGCCCGACCAGGGGACCAAGGAACACCGGGAGTAGGAGATGGGGGAGTCAGCCTCCAAGTGATATTTGAGATGCTGCAGGCTCAGCAAATCGCCATCGCTCAACTTCAAAGTCAAAATAAAACTCCGAGCGTAGCTGAACATGAAAACAATCGACGTGCTAAGCCAACGCCAGAAAGGTCAAATGGAAACGGCTCAGGGACTGACCCCACGATTATGAAGATGCTCGAAGAACTCACTAAGAGGATCGAGTCCAGAGAAAAGAAAATTAAAGACAATGATAAGAAGGTGGAGACTTATAAATCCCGTGTAGACCAGATGCCGGGGGCACCTCTAGTTCTGAAAGGGTTGGATGCCAAAAAGTTCATACAAAAACCATTCCCCCAAAGTGCGGCTTCGATGTCTATTCCTAAAAAGTTTCGCATGCCCGACATACCCAAATATAATGGAACAACCGACCCTAATGAGCATATCACTTCATACACTTGCGGAATCAAAGGAAATGATTTGAATGACGATGAGATCGAATCAGTCTTGTTAAAAATGTTTGGAGAAACGTTGTCGTAAGGAGCTATGATTCGGTACCATAACTTAGCTCGTAACTCTATTGATTCGTTTGCTATGTTAGCAGATGCCTTTGTGAAAGCACACGCCGGGGCCATAAAGGTGGCCACGAGAAAATCGGATGTCTTCAAAATAAAATAAAGGAACGACGAGATGTTAAGGGAGTTCGTGTCCAGGTTTCAGAAGGAAAGAATGGAATTACCACCAGTCTCCGATGACTGGGTAGTACAAGCTTTCATGCAGGGATTGAATGAAAGGAGCTCGATCGCATCTCGAAAATTAAAACAGAACTTGATTGAGTATCCAGCTGTGACATGGTCAGATGTGCACAATCATTACCAGTCAAAAATCAGGGTCCAGGATGACCAGTTGGTAGCCCCCTCAGGTTCAGTTCATCCTAACAGATTGGCAGCCAAGCCC